TGTTCCAGGAGTGGCTCCGTCACACACTAACGTCATTAGTTTGTTATCATTACTAAGGTGCAGGACTGATTTTTACCCCTTTTTTTTCACATCATGTCTCCTGATGGATCTGTTTTTATCTCGCTCTGAAGCACAGAGGAGTGTCAGAGGTGAGCTTGTTTCAACTAATTTTTATGATGTGGTCTCATTTAAGGACTCAAAAATTTTGTGAATGAAGCCGATATTTCAATTAAAATACATAAGTAAAAATATTTATCCGAGTATAGTACTACCCTCCAACTTTATGGATGAGTTCATGGATTTAATTTTACATATTATACTTGAATAAATTCCGTAAATCTGCACCTTTTCAGTTCTAAGATTTGACGTACGAAGACATAAAGCAGATGAGCTCAGATTTTACTTAGAGGACCTCTGTCACAAGTAAACCTAATTATTGTGTTTTTAAATCAACCAGAAGAGGCAGAACTGTCATTACCAGAAACTCACTTCACTGTAATTTTGGTAGAATTCCACTGAATCACAGTAAAACAGCAAACATATCGTTTCTCATAAAACAAATGTGCTGGACAGAGGAGCAGCCCTCCTTTCAGGGAGTTGTGTTTGGGAATGCAACACAAGATTCTTGCTGAGCTGAAACTTGGCTTCAACAGATGCAGTAAATCCTTCTTATCAGCCTGAACAAGACGTTTGGAAACTCAAGAAGAAAGTGTTTTGATCGACAACATTGTGGCCTCTGATATTCAACCACTTCAAGCTGCTTCCTGCTCGCAGGAGCAATTAAACCATTTGATCCAGTTTGACTCCACCACTGACACCAGAACCCCCAACATTAAGTCTGAGCATGTCGACCAAGAGGAAAAACTAGGTTCATCCAAACATGGACACGCCCTTTTTTCTGTTAGGCTCGTGYTTTCTCCAAAACACGCTCTGGTCTTTTACCAGAGCAAAACTGGAACTCAACCGCATCACGGTGACACAATCCCGAGCTTTACGAGATAATTTACTGTTTGGTTTGTTTCTCAAAATAAAACTGAAGTTGTATCATCTTMTGACCATGGATGAGTCATTGCTGACCAAGGAGGAGGTCAGAAAMACACGAAAATAAAAACACAAACATTTCCTTCCAGCTTTCCCTCAAAAGTGAATCATTTTGTTGTCAAAGTGTCGTTATAACTGTTACAGCTGGGAGTTTATAGTATTATTAGCTTTTATTTGGTATTACATTACAGCATTTCCCAGAAAACAAAGCAGCAGCAGTGTTTTTACCTCTCCTGTGATAAACCGACTAGACTGCGGCCGTCTACGCTCAACAACTGGTCGCCGGCTGCCAAACGGCCATCCTGCACAAACAACACAATCAGTCACTGTGAGGCTGTTTTTATCTGGTTTATTTTATATTTCAGAAACAAAACTCACCATGTCAGCTGCTCCACCTTTGACAACAGATTTGATGTAGATGCCCAGCTTCTCCTGACCAGCACCCTGCACACACACAGGCACACACAGAGACAAGAGAATACATTTAAAGCAGCTAAATGACAGGAAGGGTTTAAAGACACAGTATGTGAAATACTACATAATACTGCAAAAAGGCTAAACTAACCTAGAAAATCTTCAAGGTATTACATCGCCCGCTGCCTTTCTTACCAATATTTCAAACAAATGCAATCAGCTGGTGCTCAGAGTTTGTGTGGAAGATGACTCTCAGCTACTACCACACCAAATGTTAGGTTAGGATCTGTAGAAATGACTGAGTTAGTCATTCCTGTGATTTGGTTGATTAGCTTGAACCGAGCCGACTCCAGAAGGTAATCACTTATAGATGTGTTTTAATAAAATCCATGCTCGTTTTATATATATATA